AAATTACCGGAAACGAAGCCACTAAGTTCTTCGCCGTGTCGAAGCTTTCTCGAGAAGAACTCAAGCCGGTTTTCATTCAGTTGTGATAGCAGCCTAATAAGTTTCTTTGTTTTCGGGATTGCTTTTGTATAAATCACTTTTGCTCATAAGTGCATTTGGTAAAAATACTGTGAAATCATTGTTAAAAGTCCAAGTACTTATTTGAAAGCACGTTACAGTTGCTCAGAAGCAGTTCTAAATTTTGTGCCAGTCATTGTCAAAAGTGATTTTCGTTACTGCAATGCAGGTTCTGCATGATTTTTGGATATATTTCTTTCTTAGTGTATGTTGTATTAGGCGATTGAAAATTGCCATAAAATCTTTCCCTCATTTGTGGTTGAATTTGATAGATGATTTCTTTAGCACAAGACCATGAATTAACCCCCGACATCCTCAAAACTACAGGCAAGAAAGTTTGTTTAATATCGTATTTTCTGTTTTTGTAAATGTGGAAGAATCCAACATATACATTTTATCTAGGTCTCATTCGATTTGTTCGTCAAGTTATTCACGTTCAATTGCAGTTGATTGGGAAAACATTAAACCTCCAGTTATAGAAGGTTTGGATGATTTGGTAGCTGTGAGTATCTTCCCCTTCCCTCCCTTTTGACTTTATAACATACATTGTGACTTTCACTTATTATTTTCTCGATTCTGTACTAACAAAAACTAAGAGTTTAACAACATATGGAGTTGAAGTAAACGGTTAGAAAATGCATCCAACTTTTTTGGGAATATACTTGTTATAATCTTGTACTGAAGTCTTCGTTGGAAATGATGTAGGAACCGCTCAATTTCAACCATCAGTTCTGCGGTTTGGTTCAAAATCAGCAAAGAAAGTAAGATCAGATGTCCATTGTGCCATTGACTATTGCTGTATTTTTATACTTGTCGTTCGTTTTTTCATGAGTTAAACAATCTCCTTAACAAGTTTCTTTACTTATTCGATTGAAACATTTTATCATTTTTGTCACCTATAATCAACTTGTTTTTACATATTAATGGAGGGATGTCTTCTCTTTCCTTATTGCCTGACTATTTAAAACGTTTTTCTTCAGCTCCCCCTTAATGCTGTGACATCTATTGTTCATGGCTTGAAGAGAATGTACAATGAGAAACTACAGCCCTTGGAACTTCCATATCGTTTCAACGATTTTGCATCTCCATCATTGGTGAGTGGATTTCTATATGTTTGGATGTATATCCTTCAAAGTGTGTTGGGGAATCAAATATCCTTTTGCTCTTCTTTGCACTGTTTCGTTCAGATACTACATTTGCTAAACCTATGGCTGATTTATTTCTTTGCAGACTAGTAGTTATTTTGATTCTAAACCCATGGTCATGCTTTTGGGTCAGTATTCAACTGGGAAAACAACATTTATTAAACATTTGTTACGATGCAACTATCCAGGTTGGTTAAGTTATCTCTATTTTATTTTTGAAATGATTAATTGACAACCTCAGCGTTGAAGGGTTTAACATTCGCTTGTTGGAACAGGAGCTCACATTGGACCAGAACCTACTACAGATAGATTCGTTGTAGTGATGGTATAATTGCTAATCACCCGGTCTACTTCTAAAAGTTTATCATTTTTCTTTATACTCTCTGAGGTTTATTGTTAAATGTTTTTGGTAATTCTAATTGTTGACCGTAATTTGTTCTCAGTCTGGACCTGATGAGAGGAGTATTCCCGGAAATACTATAGTTGTTCATGCAGACATGCCTTTCAGTGGTCTAACAACTTTTGGAGGTGCATTTTTGTCAAAATTTGAGTGTTCACAAATGCCACATCCAGTGAGTTTTGAAATTTTTGTAATCTTCTATTTATATAGCATTTCTGCTGATTTTGTCACCATAATCTTCCTCTTGGATTGTGTTAATCTTCCTTTTCTATGGTTATAGTTGCTAGATGAAATTACATTTGTAGACACCCCTGGAGTTCTATCTGGAGAACGGCAAACAACAAATTTTGAACATGGTTATCCTAGCTTTGCAGTTTCTGTTAGATTTTTATTTCGAGGAAGACCTGTTGCTGCTGCCGTGGTACTGATCACATATAGTAGATTTTATTTGACATGTTGCTTGCATGATTGCATGATATGTTAAGATGTCTATTTGATTTTCTAGTACTTCCCTTCACATGTGGGCCTCATTATTAGAGTCAAAAGTGTCTTCAACTTACATTGCAAGGTTGCAATGCGATGATTTGAGCTCAGGATCTCTTATTCTGTTACCATGATAAATATTATTTATTTACCATTATTTTCAAAAGCTCGAACTGATAGGATGTGGACCAAAAATCTTCTTATACTATAACGTCTATGACTGACATAGTGGAAATTAACATGTTGGTTTTCTGTTTATATTTTCAGATAGAGTTCGTTGGGGGCCCTATGTGTTGGAATACCTGCATTTTTTCTGCTAGTGCTGTTATGGAAGTTCTGCTTAAATAGTTTCCTTAGCCTTAATTGATTTTCTCAGTGTACTATTGATGTTGAGCTCGATCGATAATCTGTGTTATGATAGGAGGGGGAGCATTTTGTAATGGCCAAAGAATTCACGTGAGCCAAGCTGATGAGGTTAGTATTTCTTTTATCAGAAGAAAAAGAATTTTGAAATCTATAACTATGTCGAATCATGGTACTTTCGGCCGATGACTAAGTCCGATCTTATTGGATGTTAGAAGTTTGCAAAGGTATATTGATTAACACTTATTGCTATTCCCTTGTACTAGAATGCAATAAACAAAAGTACAAAACCATAACGTACCTTAGGCTGTGATTATCCTTACCTATTTTCTTCAGAAATTCCAACCACCACCAGAATTAATGTTAGGCATAAAGGTAGCAAGTTAGAAACTAGAAAAGGTATTAGAGAGAAGGATGAGCTATCTCGTGTATTGCTTACTGTGTAAAGGAGAAACCAAATTTTTATTTATTTAGGCTCGTACTCTTCCATATTTCAGGTGGGACGATCTCTTCTTGTTACTGGATTTGGTTATGAACAAGATGACGTATGGATCACCAACATAGAGTTATTTAAAGAGTTCACCGACATCAGCAGGGTAATAACCTTTCGTTTTAGTTCTAAGCAATTTTATTTGAGCTTTAGCTTTAGGATTAATTAACTTCCTATTCCCTCTCTCTCTCTCTCTCTCTTCATGTTTATGACTTTAACTCTTTTTCCCCCCTTGGTTTTATCCCTACATCGTAATGTTTAGGGTGTGAGAAGGCTCAGTGCAGCTGCGGTAGACATGTGCCATGTAGCTCTTCGGATTGTAGAAGCCCACACTGGGAATATCGACTAAAGCCATGGGATACGGCAGCTGGTGTTTTGGTAATGTTTTGTCTTCTCATAAATGCATTTGTTTGGTGTTTGTGGAATAGTAATATTTGGAAGTCTATTGTTATAACACTCAATTGAATACCTTCTTGTTCTGGGTTTGTGGAAACATAATACATCGGCAGAGATTTTTGTTTTCTATCTCTCAATTTTAGTTTTTTTTTCCTTTCCCTAAAGCAATTTGGTCTGATTTTTTATTTGCATTATATGACATATTGTTCTGGTTTTTCTTTTCGATTTTGTTTTTACTTTGTTACGAGAGCCTAAATAATCATTGATACTTTCTTATACATGGGTTATTTCTTTTTATTTTTTCTAGTTGAATACCTGGAAAGAGTTGTGATAACTCAAAGTATACATCGGAAATCGAGCACATAACAAAATAATGTATCAATTGACAGTTTGGTTCCGGTATGAACAATTTACGCTTGGAGAATATACATATAATAGACTTTCTGTCATTAGACATATCCTTTACGTTTTTATGGCAAGTGTTTGGAAGTGTTGCTTCGGACAATCTCTTGTGACAAGATGCTTAAACTGATGCATGAAAATTATAGTTCACTTTTCTCTCTGCAGAATCGTGGCATCCAGAAGTGTGATTTCAAGTATTCATAGAATTTGTTATTGCAATTTTGAGCAGATAGTTGAAGAGGCAGGTGGAAAGGTTACGTGCATGGATGGCGGAAAATTTTCTGTATTTGATAGATCTATCTTGGTATCCAACTGTGTGCTGCATGGCAAGGTTAGTCTTCCAGAATCTAATTGCAAAACCTTACGTGTTAAGATCAAACCACGGTTATAGAATGCAAGATCTTAACGTTTCATTGCCTTTCTGTTACTACCACTAATCTTGTTTACTAGTTGTATAACCATTTACGAAGAGTCAAAGGCCAATTCAGTTTCCCTAACTTGATGTATATTTCTACTCATGAAGTGGCAAGCTTTCCTTTCCCCTTCCATATTTTTCCTCCAATTTTTGTGTTAGGGTAGGTCGGGGGGAGGTGAGTAGAGCAGATGTTTACTGTAAGTCCATAACAGAGCTCTTAGTGGTGCTATAGTTTCCTGTAAAAGACGCCGATAGATTGTAATCATATTAAATGCACTAGTGGTTTTAAAGAAATAATTCTAGAATTTAATTTTTGTAAAATGCAGCTCTTAGAGAGGGTTGCACCTGCAACAGAGAAATTGAAGAGCAAAGGAACCGATTTTTCATCATGGTACAAGCCCGAAGATTACACAACAGACATTTGATGTGCCTGACAGTTCATTTTTTTCTTTTTCCCAATCGTGCTGAGAAGATATCTTCCACAGGAAGGTGGTCTCTCATTGTTTCATTGGTGACTTTCGCTGTAAAGTGCATTTCAAGCGCGTGATATGTCTGTTATATCTCAGCACGTCTTCCTTTCCTGATATGAATTTTGCTTTAGGGGTTTTTGTACAGCATAGCATGTTTTCCTATGTTGCTTTAGGCAAGTGGAATAGCTGTGAATTGCTGTAATTCAGAAATAATCATCGATAACGATCATGGATCGATCTTTATCATCAAGAATTGGTCCTATGTGAAATCACTACTCTCTCTTCACTGAAGCAGAAAGAAAAATGTGAATTTGGGCACTAGTTAAAAGTGTATCATCCCTTCATTATTATTCTGTTCCGATCATTTCTTACATACGCACTCGTCTTATTTCTGCTTTAATAAAATAAAAATCAGAACGTTATTTCTCTGCTCGTAATGGAAGCTGCTGGGTGCTCTGCAACTTAGGTTGTAGGACGAATGGCGACACCCTTGATAACAAGCCCTGTCTTCAGTCTCCCAGGTTGACGGAGCATAAAATCCATCTTGCCAGATTGCCCAGGTGTAAATTCGTCAACTCGTATATAACTCCAATCTTCCCTTGATATCTGCTTCAGATTTTTTTTATTGATATTCAGGCCCCTCATCGTGTTCTGAGGGAGAGTGAGGCTGAAGTCGACGTTATCTTCCCATCCGGAGCTTGGTTCCTTCATCTTGATCACATATGAAACTTCATACTTAGTATCGGGTGTCAGGTATCCGGTCTCAAAAAACCCGTGCACTTCTAGCCAATATGCACGTAACAGTTCAGCAACCTCAACGGAGACATCGCTGCAGTTAAACCCTAAGTTAGGACCGATTACTATATAGCAGTAAGCAATATCAATTGTGATATACGGATTCAAGTTTTCGGTACCTGTTGTTTGCTCTCTCGGTGTACCAGCGCCACTGACGTCTGTTTCCACTCCAAGCGATTCTGAGAGCTCTTGCATACACCATAAAACAGTTCTTGCCCTTTTCATCAACCCAATACCTATGCTAATAATAGTCCAGAAAATAATGGGATAAACATGATTGTTGTGTTTCAAGTTGTGTTAAGAGTTCATCTTTTAATATATTTAAAAGGCAATGATTTTCGCACAACCGTTTTCTTCTGTTGCACGCCCTGTTTATTTCTACCCTTTAATTGAATCTCCTTTTGTTTATACAAATATTCAAATGCAATAAACAAACACTTGTGTCCAGACGCAGAAAACGAGTGTGCTAAACTTCAGTGACGTTTCTGAAGCATTTTGATAATTTCACACAAAAAACTGAGAAACAAAGAGTGGGAAATTCTTTTTAAAATTGTCAAAAAGTTAAATGCATGGATTTCACCTTTTTCTGTTGGTCGAAAATTCCTGTTTCTCCGAGCTCCGAATGGAATTTTTCAGGTGAGGACGTGTCGATACGTGCGTTAAATTCTCTTAGAATGTCTTGATACTTGTGTGGGAACGACGTCTTTGCTGCCTGATCCATCTCTTCGTGCAGTTCTTCAATCATGTTTTCACTATATATACGCAGGAAGACAGGCCTAAGCCAGTCATTTCCAAAAGTCCCCGCAACATGCGGATAAGGATAAGAAAGATGCCTTGCGTTCCGAACCTTTTATTCTTTGAAATGTAGATATCAAACATGAATTCCTTTTATTTTACTTTGGAATTTCGACCATGTGGGAAAGCCCTAGATTGGAAAGCAATTTTGAAAAAGCCTTTTATTCCATATGCTAAAGCTTTTGTTTGTTGATCGTGTATATTGCACTATGCAAAAGAATAGCATTCATTCTCAGATAATGCAGAAGAAAGATGCATTGCGTTGCAAACCTTTTATTCTTTAAAATGTAGATATCAAGCATGAATTCCTTTTATTTTACTTTGGAATTTCAACCATGTGGGAAAGCACTAGATTGGAAAGCACTTTCGAAAAAGCCTTTTATTCCATATGCTAAAGCTTTTGTTTATTGATCGTATATATTCCATTATACAAAAGAATAACATTCATTCTCAGATAATGCAGAAGAAATATACCTTGCGTTGCAAACCTTTTATTCTTTTAAATGTAGATATCAAGCATGAATTCCTTTTATTTTACTTTGAAATTTCGACCATGTGGGAAATCACTAGATTGGAAAACACCTTTGAAAAAGCCTTTTATTCCATATGCTAAAGTTTTTGTTTGTTGATTGTATATATTCCATTATGCAGAAGAATAGTTTTCATTCTCAGATAATGCATCATATCTCATATATTATTCCCAGCTTATAAAGTAATATTTGAATTTGCAAGTGATTACTATAAGTCTGCAACAGAGCTCCGAGTAGTGCTACATCAATAAATAGATGTTTTAGTAAACCACAACAGGTAAAAGTTAGTTAGAAATTATTCCATCCCAATTTGTAGCACATCAAAAAGTAAAGTTTATTCCACAACCCATAAGCTCCAACATGAAACACAAACCCTAATTTAACTTCTAAGTATTAATTCATCTTACAAATAACCCATTTATTCCATAAATAATTGATATAGAAACTTGGAACTAAACACCCTACCTTACTATGTCTGCCGAAGCTTCAGTCGCCAGAAAAAATAGAATTTTCCAATCAAAACAGAAAATATGGTACAAAACCCAACTCACTCCTCTCATCTCTTTTTGGACTTTCTTTTCTTCGAAATTTGAGCTCAGAACCCAAAAATGTAGAGCTATCTCTGCTTCCCTTTCTTCCAAATGAGAAAAGTGATGCAATGAGCTGATGATTTTTAGTATTTATATATAGGTATTTTAGTAATTTCAGTTTTGTGCATAGTAACATAACCGGTTTGTCCTATTTATATCTCAAGATTAAGAAAAAAGCCTTTTCTTTGCCATTCCAATAAATCAAATTGAGACAGAAGATGAAGAAGAGAGAAGGCTGGTGGAAATCTCAAGTCATCGCCATAACTTTCAATTCCAAATTCGAAGGGTGGAGAGGAGACAAAGGAGAAGGGTGGTAGTGGAATCTCTGGGATGGCCAATTCAGTCTTTATCTTTTCCATTTCTGCAATTGTCAGTCCTGCGATTAGATCCAGTCCATGGGAAGGACTTCATGGACAATGTGCAGCGAACGGGAGATTGTTGGAAAAAAACGAAGAACCCGACTAATAACACGGAAGTTGTGGAGAGGATAAATAAGTGAGCATGTGCCCTATGAAACTGGTAGGGCCAGATTAATTATTCAGTGACTATTTGGTACAGAAACACATCAAATAATGGCTTCATCAAATAATGGCTTTGAATTATTAGTATTATCCGTTTTTTATACGAAATGCCAAACAAGGCGGGTAAGTATGTAATTGGCTTCTAAACCGTTTTCCTCGGCGTCAGGAGGCAATAATTGTCAGTTAAAAAAATAAGTAAAAAAAAAAAAAAAAATAGAGGAGCGAAGCAATATTGTCTCTGCCCGCGCTTTGCTCAGCTAAGGAAAACAAGCCTGTCTAGTTACGGAGAAACCCAAGAAAAATGGAGAAATCGAAGATTGGGAGGAGGTTCCAAGGCAAGGTAGCGATTGTGACGGCTTCCACTCAGGGAATTGGCTTCGGCATCGCCGAGCGCCTGGGTTTGGAAGGCGCCTCCGTCGTCATCTCCTCCCGCAAGCAGGTCAGTCTCCGACACTCATCAATCCTCTCCTCCTGAATCTTTGACTTTTTTACATGAAATTCATCTGGGTTTTTCTTCAATTTTAGTCAAATTTGATTTCTTTCTGGTTTCCGTGGATATTGGGATCGAAAATTGAACCGCTGAATTTCGTTGTGTGTGGTTGATTGCTGAAAATGAAATCAGGCTTTTTGGGGACAAATTCTCGAGAAAGCGCTTCTGCTTATAAGTACTTATGTTAGAAATAGTTTATTATTTTCACCAAAAACGCTTTCAAGTTGGCAGAATGTGCTTTTAGCCTTTCTAACAGCAGTCCGTTCTTGTTTAATCCCCGGGAAAGATGAAGAGAGGAAAGTTAAATACTGCATATCATGAACTTCAATCAAGCTAAATGGTACATGTTTGAGTTTTATGCTGTTTTTTAATGGTTGTGCTGATGCGTATTTTTTCTTGCTTGATCAAATTGTTCCAGAAAAACGTTGATGAAGCAGTTGAGAAACTTAAAGCTCTAGGAATTGAGGCGCTGGGAGTCGTTTGCCACGTTTCAAATGAGCAACAAAGGAAGAATCTCATTAACAAGACTGTGCAGGTAAGAACATTCGTCGAGTCCATGATTTTACATTCACTGTTAAAGCAAGACGCGGAATATAAACAGAAAACTACGAAAAATACTTGATTACAACCTCTGATTTGAGTCATCTTCCAAATGAGATGGTCTCTCTCTTTTCCTTATAAACAATTACTTCTCCATTTCAATGATTCTTCAATGTCATTCCGTTGAACGTTTGAATTTTACTGATTTGTTTGCAGAAATATGGAAAAATAGATGTGGTAGTATCAAACGCTGCTGCCAATCCATCAGTTGACCCCATATTGCAAACCCAAGAATCTGTGCTTGACAAGCTATGGGAAATCAACGTCAAAGCCACTATACTTCTTCTCAAGGTAAAAGGCCACAGGAAGACGTGATCGAACAGCCAAGAGCACTTTTCCCATGGAAATTTTCTGCTCAAGCTGCAATTAACAGTTGCCGATATGGACTTTTTTATGACTTATTTTGTCCTCTCCTCGCATATTCGATATGCATAAATTTTTGGTGTTGTTTGCTAGGTTATAATACTAGATTATATGTGCAGGATGCATTTCCGCACTTGACGAAGGGTTCTTCTGTTGTTATCATTTCCTCAATTGCTGGCTACGATCCACCAGGAGCTGCCATGGCTATGTATGGGGTCACTAAAACAGCCCTTCTTGGGCTAACCAAGGTATGTAGGTGGTTCCTGTTTTACACCGTTTGTTTCTTCAGCTCTGGAAGCCACACATTTTCTTCAGCTTATTCTTTGCTGGTCTTACTTAGGCCCTTGCCGGTGGCATGGCACCAGATACTCGTGTAAAATTGTGTTGCTCCGGGTTTTGTTCCTACAAACTTTGCTTCATACATTACAGAAACTGATGCCGTGGTAAGTATATATGTGCGCGTATATAAAGGCCAACGTTGGGATATATAGTTCCTTTCCGACGGATCTTGGGCAATGGCCATTGACCTTTGTGGTTGACTGAACTCGAATGGTATTTTGTTGCAGAGGAAGGCCCTCGAGGAGAAGACGTTACTCAACAGGCTCGGTACCACTGGAGACATGGCTGCTGCCGCTGCCTTTTTGGCATCCGATGATGCTTCTTACATAACCGGAGAAACTATAGTTGTGGCCGGAGGGATGCCCTCTAGACTTTAGTTCCCTTCTTTATCAACATGTTTTCGCTCGAATCATTACAAGAACAAGTGTTTTTTTCATAATAACTATTGGACCTTGAAGCAAATATCAATAAAATTCACTCCTATCGATTTTCAACGTTAATTTTCGCCGTCTCATAATGTCTCGTCATTCTTTCCAATCTGATACCGGAAGATCTAATAATACACATAAATCTCGCAAGTAGAGTAAATTTTGCATTTACAATCTTGGACACGAAACATTAACGCTACATAATCCCATGCTTAATAGAATATTAACATTTCCTTCTTGTCACAAACAATACACATTAAAAGATGAAATACAAATACACGTGAGGCCGGACGGTTTATAACCAAAAAAGAAAACCACAGAAACCCTAGCAACTACTTTGAGTACTGCAATCGAGCATCAGACGAAAGGCAGCCGGAACCCCTTTGGGCACTCTATGAAGCTATGACTTATGTACACGAAATCAGAGCATCCTGATTTCCGACGTTACATCATCTACAAACTTCTTCAAAGGGTGGTCGTCGGGCCTTTTTGCCCTATTACATTACCACCTTCACAGCATATTAATCCAGAGTAAGCTATCTTCAGTCTATCTGAACTGCACCTTTAGGCTTACAACACTTTACCACGAAGGAAAGAACAGAGCCGGTTGTCGTATGTGCTTTTTCCTTCGGTTTCAGCCTTCATATTTTTACATGCAAATCCCACTTCTAAAAACAACTATCATGAAACTGAATATATCTACACAGGAACCACATCAGCATTCTGATTATCATCGCACGTCAGAATGAGACCTTCAACATAGGTCGGGAGAAGGCAGCGAAACCATTGAAAGCCTGTTGACACAGGCTCCGTTGGAGGAACAATCATGACCACATTATCGTGGCGTCTGACAACCCCCATCACACTTACAGTGCTGCCCTCTTTAATATACCTGACGAGGAGGAAACATGTTCTCAAAAGCCTATAAGTTGTGAAGGAAAGAACCTCACAATTTGTATAATCATATACGAGTTTCCAGTTACAAATTAGATGCAAAAATCTCTGACCATGTAAAAATTATGACTAGAAACAAGAAAGCAGCATACCCTTCTTTGAGGCGCATTACACGGTCATCAGTAGAGAGGTTGCGCTCACCAAGCCAGCGCAAAAAACTTGGAGATAACTCTCTGTTTTGCTTTCTCACGTCCACCACAGTAGCTGGTTTTACGAAAGGGGCAACCTTGGCTCCATAGCCAGCTTTCACTAATGCTCTTAAACCCGATTGGAAGTCTGATATGTAAAAGTCAGACACATATTTCTGTTCAGAAGAAAACATAAATATTAGATTTTAATATTCCAGCCTGACTGAAGTCTTTAAAGTAAACAGAGAACTGCATATGCAATCTTTTGGTAGTGCAAACAACTGCAAAAGACAACGTGCAGATGGCACCATTTGTGGAACTCAGGTTAATTATACTGTATTATTACCCCAACAAAAATCCAAGCAGGAGTTTCAAATTGTTTGCCCACCAGTGGAGGATAACAAATGCATACATAAATCTTTCAGGTATACTCATATCTGGCTATATTCATGTCATGAATCGCATGAGCTAATTTTATCTGGTACTGCATGCCTAAAATGTTAAGTTTACATAGTGTATGAACATATATCTACATATATGTATGTATATACTGGGTTTCACTTCTCAAGGCCCTGTCAGATCGACGAGTGCAGTATACACAAATCTTTATTCTAAATCGTCAGTCAAACTTTGACAATGAACGCAGTTCAGAGCACATAAGCACAAATAGTCTGACAACTAACCTCTGAATGCCTAGATTTTTTTTTCTCCGACTTGCGCACACAGCATCCTTTAGATTCGCACAACTCGGTGGAAACATATACACACCTAGGTACCCTTTGGTAGGATGATTCCAACGGAATACTGCCACAGGTAACAACCTACATGCAGAGATATCCACATATTACTACCTATGAAAAACAAGCAAAGAAGAATAAAACCAAACCATCATAGTAGAATAAAAAGATTTATTACTACGGTGAAATCCAAGATTGTTTTAACTTTTTTGATAAGGCGTCATTTTAATCTACATGGAGGGAGATTCAAACTCGGGTGCAAAGAGCCAGACACACTGCCATGGCCAACTGACTTAACCGGCGTCTGCAATATTGTTTTACTTTCAACTTCTCCACTAGTCATGATTCAAATTCCTACGTGGTACCAAATGCCCGTATACATCAATACACAACCAGAAACATTCGAATTGACAGTGATAATCCAACCTCTTAGTATTTGTCGAAATCAAACAATTGACCCACAAAGTCTTCGAAACAAAACTATAAACGCTAGATAAAACAAAAGGCTTAATATGTAGCATCCGAAAATATCCCTAATCAAATCTTGAAAATAACAAATTGGGAAGGTATCAAATTTAAATAGCAAGAGCAAGTGAGCAACCCAATTGTATTAAGAGCGAGCAAGCAACTAAATAAACATGGAAAAGGAAAGGAAAAAATGAGAGAGATGGGGAGAGTGAAATTACCCCTGTAACCTTGACGTACTGTCCATCAATGGCACCCCTGAGCTCAGCATCTGGGTACCTCCTCACAAACCCTAGCAGCCCTCTTCTTCGCCACGCGAAATTCCAGACAATAACCACCAACACCGGCACCAGAAAGAGCGCCACCGCCACCAGAATCACCCATTTCTTGACGGCCACCATCAGAAACCCACCCACTAGCAACCCCATCGCCGCCACCACCATGAACACCCACACCGCAACCTTTGACACACGAAACCCCACCTTGACCTCGTCGGTTAAGGTGGTAACCGCCGACCCATACACCACTTTGCTTTTGCTCATCGACCCCGTCTGTTCCAGCTGGCCGGACGACCTCCTGGGCCCGGAGCTTAGTGGGCCCGAGCCCAATGGGCCGGAGGTGATAAGGCCAGTTACCTGAAGCTGTGGAGTCAAGGGGCCGGAGGATTTCTTAGAAATCTGACCGGAATTGGGCCCCGATCGGACGGATCCGCTGTTATGTTGGGAGGAGGAGGAAGGGCGTGAGCCTGAGAGCTTGGAAGGAGGAGGAGGTCCGCTGGATGGGGCAGAAAGAGGATTATCGGCAATTTGTATGTCGAACATTTTGCCTAGCTCTCCAGATTTCTTCACATCACCGCCAGTGTATGGGACGGCGCGTGACGCCATTGTCGGTTGGCGCTCTTTTAGCTGCTCGGGTCGGCCCGACACTACCAGCCCGCTGCTGAGCTGGTGAGATGGGATTCGGCTACCCATTTTTGGGCTTTTTACAGAGAGGAAGTATTAGCAGCAGCTGCAGAAGTTAGAGTTGCAATTGACGAGGAGAGAGAGAGTGATGGAGGACTGGTGAGGAGGAGGGAGAGTGGCAGTGAGGGTGTGAATGGTGATGGTGGGAGTTTGAGGAAGAAGGTGAAGCAAATGACGGAAATGGGTCTGACGTTTTGTGATAATGACGTGTGTGTCCGCTGTCTTCAGATGGCGGTACAGCAAGTTTACTCGATTGTGGTTTTCCCTGTTTTGATGAAGGCTCATGGTAGATGTGATGCGCCCCACCCCACAAACTCACTCACCAAGTAGCCTCTGATTTTACCATTTTGCCCCTCAAGCTTTGCTGTCCGCTTGATGGATTCCCGTTCCATGTTGAAGGGTGATCAACTCGGTCGCGGAAAGAGATTCTCTTCCTTCCTCCTAATCCATTAAGTTCCAAGATTCCGGTCGTTGAAATTTAATCCAACGGTTAAAGTTATTATAACTTTTAAAATGGACTCCTATTTGTAACCGTTAGATCAAATTTCAACGATCCGGATCTCCAAACTTGATAGATTAGGAGAAAGGAATCCGAACAGGATCCCCTTCCCTCCGTCGCAAAGAAAAAAGAAAAATGTGTAGAGCTTTGTCTATATTATTCAAAGGACATCTATTTCTTATATGTTTTTCTCACTAACTCCATTCGATACGATTCAGTGTAAAAATTATTCTAGTTAAATTAAGATAATTTACAGAATATTTTATCAACCGTGTTATATGAAAGTTAGGAAAGTCCAAGTTAATATTAGCAACTGTCATTAGAAACCTATAGAAACAAAGTTAGTTTCCTAGGGCAACCTTACCAAGTAGACACGCATTAGTAGACTTTTGTGGCAGTTTTTTCTCGCAATCAAACTTGTTGGTCAAGTTTCCACCAAAAATAATAAATTGGCATGGGGTCCCATATGCCATACCAGAAGAATGAGAAGATAGTCAACATTGAATCCATTACATTAGTCTGCTTCTGCACAATCAAATGACTAATCAAAATGTGGTGGCTGTGATTTAACGGGTAACATAATCTAATCCAGTCATTAGTTTTACTAATTGGACTCTAATACCAAATTTTAAAAAGTCCTTGCCAACCTTAATTTCTCAAAGGGCTGATTTGGTAATTGACACTACGTTAGGCCAAAATCGGACATAGCAATTGGAATCCATAGTTTGCAAGAAAGTTGATATTTTATTATAAAATTAATTGGTAATGAGAGATGCTAAGAAGACTCCGTCAAAGTGGGATTCTCATAAACTCTCTGCAATCTCATGTTTTTGGCGCATTGTTTCATAATGTTGGTACGAGAATTGCGTCACAAATATGAGGTAGCGGATAGTCCATAAATAGTCTCACTTTTAAGAAAGCTTCATTAACATTTCTCATTTGGTAATATGAGTCTTTGTAAGGGTTCTCTTTTTACCGATGCGAGACTTTTTTATCTTCGCATCCTCATACAAATTTTCAAGTTAAATTTGTAGACAACACGAATTAAATGACGCGAAGCATTGTGACTTTAGTTTCACATCCTCATAGTTTGTGGAGGTGGTAAAGCTTCTCTGCTTTTTCTTTTGCAAGGGATTCTCTTCATCTATTCTTGCAATTGCGTCCTTATTTGGAAATTACGTTTGCTTGCTGTATCTTTTTCTAATTACGCTACCTTAATCTCAGCACTTAGTGGTTGCTTTGCATCTTTCTGTCCTTTATTCTTTAGTCTTCTTCAAGATTAATCTTTGCTTTTAGGACTCTAAAATTGGTCAGAGCTCCAATATTT